GGAGATTCCATTAACACCATGTAGGTACTTGATCATTTTTTGTATAGTGTTTATATTATTTTAATTTTAATTTTGTTAAGAATATTTTTATTGGTATCAATCTTCTCCCATTTGAAATTGATGCTTATTCTATTCACTAATTGGTTCAATCCATATCAAATTTTACTAATAGCTTCTACTTAATAAGTTTTCCATCAAAGTCATTTTTTCTAGCAAGGCTAATTGTCCTATTGGGCAATTTCTGACATATCTATTTTATTCCTCTTTCAGTTTTCATTAAGTATCAAATGTTACCACACAGCTTGAGTGATTATTTTTATCATGGTTATTCCTCATGAATTCATTATTCCTTAGAGGATATAGAAAACTATAAAGAGTTTCATGAAATAAAGAGTCTCTAAAAGAGATTCCCCAGAAAAAAAGGAAGCAGGGGTTGGAGCTATATCCTGGATGGCCTGTTTAGCTCTTGAATGTTCCATGGAATGAAAACATCAAGGTCAAGTTGTTCTACTGTATACTGTGATGACATAGTGAGCATTTAAAAATAATTTACTTATAGCAAAATAAAATGAAGGAGAGGAAGTGGTGTTATAGGACTTTGGGGCGTCACTTGCAGGCCAGAAATCTCTGTGGCTGGTGGCACCTTTGCCCAAGTTCTTGTCCTGTGTCCAGGAAGAATGAGGTAGGCAGACAAGTAGAAGTTTAACAAGAAGAGGAGGATCTTTACTGAGTGTTACAACAGCTCAGAGGAGAATTGCAGTGGGTTCCTCCTCTGTGTAGGGAGGTCATCCTGTCCAGTGTTCAGCTCTCAGCAGAGAGGAGTTCATGGAGAGGGTAGCTCCTCGCTGTAACTGGTCATCCCCACGTCTGCAGCTTTAAACAGAGATAGTAGCTTCTCTCTGTAGCTAGTTGTCCTTCATTGCTCTATTCTTTGCCTTGCTCTGGCTGAGCCTGGGGCTTTTATGGACCTCAGTGGGGAGGCAGTCCATGCCGATTTGTCCATGAGTGGCCATGGGCAGGCCATAAAAGGCACCACAAGTCCCCACTCTGATCCAAGAGACTGGCATCCCAGGCCCCCCAGCTGTCTCTGGCCAGAAAGAGAATCCTCACCAGGGGACCCACCCCTTTCTGCCCAGGATCCTGTCTGCCTCATGCCACTGGCCATGGCCCCAGGCTGCTCACATGAAGGGGCAACTGCAGGCCAGTACCCAGCCACCCTCAGCTCCCACTCAGCTTCCCTTCCCATGCTCCTTAGTGCCGAAAGTCCAGAGGGGTGCAAGTCGGCAGGAAGCTGGTATGTCAGCACTGCCCTGAGTGTGTGCACACCCAGCCAGACTGTAATAGCGTCTGGGCTGGGACCCACCCCGAGAACAGAACAGATACTGGTAGTGGGGAGAGGACAAGCCTGTAAGGGCAACAGGGTCCTTTCCGGGCCCCCCAAGAGTGCAGAGATACCTGGGCGTGCAGCTCCAGCTTGGGTGGCTGCAACTGCCCTGAGGAGGGGGATTCCTGCTTGCTCCGTGGAGTGGGAGGCCCTGATCCACAGCCACAACTTGGGCAGTTGCAGCACTGCCCAGGAAGGTGGGGCTCTTGCCTACTCTTGGCTCCCAAGAGCACAGCGGTGCCTCAGTTGCAACCATAGCTTGGGCAGCTGCATCTGTACCTGGGAACACCTGCCCTGCCAACTTGGAAGGGGCCAGGTTCCCACTCGTCCCCAGCTCCCACCAGCTCTGTGGAGCACAGCACCCGGCCACACCACATCACAGCCTGGAATGGGAGCCAGGTCCTCCCTGGGCCTGTGCCGAGCAAGGAAGGGGCGACATTGCCATGAGCTCTTCCTGTGGGCCTGGTGCTCAAGGGTAGTCCGGACCTCCTCTTCTTCCAGAGGCAACCCAGCCCAGCCCCATCGCAGCAGCCCCCAGGAGGGCAGGCTGTTGGGGGTTGGGGGGTGGTGAAAGGCTCTTCATCTCCTCCCCATGCCTTCTCTGCAGAGGTCAGTATGACGTCAGTGGCCGCACCAGAGGGCCCACCGCTGCCATCAGTAGGTAGTAGTGTAAATAAAGCAAGCTCTTCTATAAATTAATAAATTGCTGAAGATGGATAATTGGTATATGGGAGTTCATGTTTTTCTATTACATTTAAAACTTTCTGCAGTAACATATTTGAAAGATTTTAAACATAATTTTTAACATACACATTTAAGAGGAAAGATTTTTAAAGGATATGCAACCTTCTTCTGTTAATGTTCAATAAAAATATGAGTATATGTTATTAAATTTTAGGCCAGTGAAACATTACTATGAGGAACTAAATTGAAGTTGGTCAGGCATGCTAATTTCTTGAGATAAAATTATCTGTGTATAATAGGGAAAACGTTGTTGTACAGGTTTATAACAAAAAAGAACTTTATTAACTATCAAGGGAGGTAGCATAATGCTTATAACTTAGGAAATCTACTTCTTTTTTTGCCCTCTCCCATTCATAAAGACTAGCCAGAGCAAGGAAAGAGAAACAGAAATTTCAAAGCCTGGATCCATTCTTCTATGCTATTTAAAAAGTGAAAGTTGGAGTACAAAGTCCATCATTTAGTTAAAAGTTTATTTATGCAACTTGTGATATTAAAAAATTAACCTAAACAAGTGGCAGAGTGATCAACTGCTCTTTATAACAGAAGAAAATGTGTTGGCAGGGTGGCAGAAAGCCCAGCAAAATAAGGGATTCTGATGGTAATGGCCCCACAGATGAGCACATAGGAGAATTTTTAAATAACCTCGATTTACATAAATGCCAAAGGACAAACAGAAATAACATATATTCAAGTCATGTATGTTATTGCCCTATAAAACTCTAACTCTCACTTTCCTGGATGTACTAATAAAAGCATACAAGGTAAGGTGACTTCTGATAAAACAAAAGGATTATAAGGACAAATTTTCACATCTAAGTGAATGTGGAGCAGAAAGAGAGAAATAGCAAAAAGGCAGAGTAAACACTTTGAATTCCTGCGTATTAGGAAAAACTGAGTGAAAGGTGATCATAAGAATAATATTTGTCAATCTCTAGGAGTGAAAAAGATTGTGGCTCAAGGTTTCAGGGGATTGGATGCTGCTATTAAGTAGCGTAGAACTAAAACAAACTACATTGGGGAAGACAAAAGGTTCTTTCAGGCTGTTTCTTTCAACTTTGCTATGGCAAGAGGTAGATAGGAGTTCTCCATTGCTTTAAATATATAATATAATACGGATATAGAGAGATGTATTATATATTAGAGAGAGAGAGACTTTGTTTTGTTTGTTTTTATGCAACGGGTTCTCATTCTATCACCCAGGTTGGAGTGCGGTGACACAATCATGGCTCACCGCAGCCTTGACCTCCCAGGCTCAGGCAATCCTCCCACCTCAGCCTCCCAAGTACCTGAGACTACAGGCATTTATCACCATGCCCAGCTAATTTTTGTATTTTTTGTAGAGACAGGGTTTCGCCATGTTGCTCAGGCTGGTGTCGAACTCCTGGGCTCAAGTGATCCACCCTCCTAGGCCACCCAAAGTGCTGGGATTATAGGCATGAGCCAGTGTACCTGGCCCCATAGATGTGTTTTTGAGGACTAAGCTCTGATTTTTTTTTTTTTTTTAATCTTGCTCAAATTCCTATCTAAGGAGACTGGGGAGTCATGCCCTTCAAATCATAAATTCTCATCAGATGGGTTTTATTTAAACCTATATATCATGCATGACTTACTTTCCAATCTGACTCTGGTGTAACATAAAGTGACAAAGAAGAAAATCAAAACATTTTACCTCAAAACATGTTTCTTTGCCATATTTTGAAATGGCCCTGCAAAGCGGTCCTTTGTGGGGAAAAATTTCCAACTGAAAAGAATGTCTATTAACATAGCCAATAAAATAATTATTTCTTCCAGCCTTCCCAAACCCGAAGGGGTTAAATGAGAGTCTAGCACCTTTTAAAAGGTCTAAATAGGAAACATGCCTCATCTACTATCTCTAAGGGCAGCTACTATGAGACTTCAAAGGAACCTTGGTCTCCACAATCTTTTATCTTGACCCAAACATTTCCTTTCTATTGATCCCAGGTCTTTAGACAAACTCAACCAATTGTCAACCAGAAAATGTTTAAATTTACGTATAGTCTGGAAGCCCCACCACCACCACTCTATGCTCCCCTACCACCCTACCCTCCCCTGCTTCAAATTGTCCTGCCTTTCTAGACCAAACCCATGTACTTCTCAAATGTGATTGATGTCTCATGCCTCCTAAAAATGAAAAAAACCAAGCTGCAGCCTGACCACCTTGGACACATATTCTCAGGACCTCCCAAAGGCTGTGTCACAGGCCATGGTCACTCATATTTGGCTCCGAATATATCTCCTCAAGTATTTTACAGAATTTGACTCTTTTCACTCACATTTTAATGTAGGAATATCTCTTTCACTCCCAATTTCCATAAGCTCTTTGTATTGTGGCGATATAAAACAAATTTTTGGCCAGGCATGGTGACTCACACCTGTAATCCCAGCAGTTTTGGAGGTGAAGTCGAGGTGGGTATATCACTTGAACTCAGGAGTTCAAGACCAGCTTGGGCAACATGGCAAAACCCATCTCTATGAAAATTAACTAGGTGTGGTGGTGTGTGCCTGTAGTTCCAGCTATTCTGGAGGCTGACGGGGGATGATGGCTTGAGCTTAAAAGGTGGAGGTTGCAGTGAGCTGGTATCTCACGACTGCAATTCAGCCTAGGTGACAGAGCCAGACCTTGTCTCAAAAATAAACACACGCACACAAAACCAAAATTTTATTTTCTTGTCTTTAAAACTTAAAAAGGGAAAACAAGAAAAAATAGGTTTTGTAGAGTTAGAAGAAAAATGTGAATAGCTTCTACTAGTTGGACATTTCACTAAAGAGGAAAAAGCATAAAAAATAATAATTATAATATAATGAAAATATAAATTTATAACAAAGCATAATAATTATAAGAAATAATTACCTTTTTTTGGTTTAGTGTTTTAGAATATGTACAGCCTGCAAAGCAGGGAGAAAAATATTCAATATCATCTCTTCCACATATAGAAGAATAAATTGAAGATGAGCATCTACAGTTTTCGTTGCAAGGAGCTGTGAGGTTTCCCAACTGCCCTGTTCTATAAAAACAAGACAGAAAGTAATCATCTTACCATTGTTTGATAATTATTGATGTAAATGTCAAGATATCTTGAAATAATTTCTTTTTTAAAACAGATTTACTGGGGTCTGATTACAATAAACTGCACATCCTTAGACTAAAATTTGAAATTTTTTGATACTTGTATACACTTGTGAGATTATCACCAGAATCATGCCAACAAACATAATAATCACCCCCAAAAGTTTCCTTGTGTCCCTTTCTAATTTACCCACTCCCACTGATCTACTTTCTGTTACTATTCACTCATTTGAATTTCCAAAAGTTTATGAAATATAATAGTACAATATGTAAGGTTTCCTTGGCTTGTTTCATGCAGCTGGTCTTTATTTGGTCTTTGGTTATATACTTCCATGTCTCTTGGGTAAATATTAAAATACAGAATGTTTGCATCATGTGGTAGGTGTTCACTTAACTTTTTTTTGAAAAAACTGTCACTTTTGTAGAACTGTTGTAATATTTTACATTTCCATCAGCAGTATATAAGAGCGTCATTTGTTCTCCTCACCACCATTTGGCATGGTCTCTTTTTAAAAAAATGTTAGACATTTTAACATGGGTGTAGTAGTTTCATATTTTGGGTTTTAATATGCATTTTGCTAGTGACAAATGATGTTGATCATCTTTCCACATATTTGTTTTTAATCTGTATTTTTTGTTAAATATCTGTTTAAATCATTTGCCCATTTTTGTTGGATTGCTTATTTTTTAATATTTTGGAAGCAAGTTTTTTGTTAGATGCATGATTTTATGATTTTCTAATATTTTTTCACATTCCATGGTTTGCTTTTTCATATGGTAAACAAGGTCTTTCAAACAGTAGGTTTTAAATTTTTGACATGGTTCAATTTATAAGTTCATTTCTTTCTGGATCATGTATTTAGTGTTACATCTAAAAGATAGTTGTCTAATGCAAGATCAAAAATATTTTCTTTTATATCTTTGGAGTTTTATATTTTATATGTACATCTATAATCATTTCGAACTAATTATTTTATATGGTGTAAGATGTGAATTAAAGTTCATTCATTTGCATATAGCTATTTAATTATCCAGCATAATTTGTTAAAATTATTGGAACAAGACAAAAGCACCCACTTTAAGCAATCCTATTCAAAAGAGTACTGGAAGTTCTAAACAGAGCAACCAGGCAAAAGAAAGTTTGTGTCCTTTGTAGGGACATGGATGAACCTGGAAACCATCATTCTCAGCAAACTGACAGAAGAGCAGAAGATCAAACACCGCATGTTCTCACTCATAGGTGGGTGTTGAACAATGAGAACACATGGACACAGGGAGGGGAGCACTACACACTGGGGTCAGTTGGGGGGAAATAGGGGAGGGACAGTGGGGGGTGGGGAGCTGGGGAGAGATAGCAAGGGGAGAGATGCCAGATGTAGGTGATGGGGAGGAAGGCAGCAAATCACACTGCCACGTGTGTACCTATGCAACAATCTTGCATGTTCTTCACATGTACACCAAAACCTAAAATGCAATAAAACAAATAAATGGAAAAAATAAAAAATAAAATAAAAAGAAATAAACAGCTTCCAAATTGTAAAAGAGAAAGTCAAACTATCCTTGATTGTTGATGATACAATCTTAGATCTAGAAAAACCTAAATACGTCATCAAAAAATCTCTTAGATTTGATAAATAAATCTAGTAAAGTTTCAATAAGCCAAATTATCCCTGATCATTGATGATATAATCTTAGATCTAGAAAAACCTAAATACTTCATTTAAAAATCTCTTGGATTTGATAAATCTAGTGAAGTTTAAATAAGTCCAATTATCCCTGATAATTGATGATAAAATCTTAGATCTAGAAAAAACTAGACTCCATCAAAAATCTCTTAGATGTGATCAATGAATCCTATAAAATTTCTGTGTAGAAAATTACCATACAAAAAATAGTAGCATTTTTATGCACTGATAAAAATATAGCTGAGAACAAAATTAAAAAGGCAAGTGGCTTATGCCTATAATCCTAGAACTTTGGGAGGCTGAGACGGGAGAATTGTCTGAGCTCAGGAGTTTGAGACAGCCTGGGCAACATGGTGAAGCTTCGTCTCTACTTAAAATACAAAAAATTAGCCAGGCATGGCAGCATGACCTGTAGTCCCAGCTACTTGGAAAGATGAGGCAGGAGAAGTGCTTGAACCAGGGAAGTGGAAGTTGCAGTGAGCTGAGATTGGGCCACTGCACTCCAGCCTGGGCAAAAAGAGGGAAACTTTATCTCAAAATAAAATAAAATAAAATAAATAGGCAAGCCCATTTATAATAGATCCAAAAAGTAAAATACCTAGGAATATATTAAACCAAGAGGTGAAAGATCTCTACATGGAAAGAAAACTACAAGAAAGCAATTGTAGATTATACAAACAAATGAAAAAGCTTTCCATGCTCATAAATCAGAAGAATTAATCTTGTTAAAATGATTTTACGGCCCAAAGCACTCTATTCAATAAAATCCCTGTCAAAATATCAGCATCATTTTTATAGAATTTTTTAAAAATCCTAACATGCATATACAACCAAAAATAAAAGCCCAAATAGCAAATGTTATCCTAAGCAAAAGGAACAAAGTTGGAGGTATCACATTATCCAACTTCAAATTACACTTTAAGGCTACAGTAACCAAAAGAGCATGATACTGGTATAAAAATAGACACATATATCAATAAAATAGAACAGATAACCCAGAAGAAAAGCCACATATGTACAGCCAACTGATTTTTGACAAAGTCAACAAGGACACACATTTGGGGAAAGGACACCATTTTCAATATATGATGCTGGGAAAATTGGATTGCCATGCATAAGAGAATGAAAATGGACCCCTGTCTGTCACCATATACAAAATGCACTCAACATGGATTAAAGACTTAAATGCACATCTCCAAACTAAAAACATCAGAAGAAAGCCTAGGAAAAATTCTTCCAGATGTTTGTTTAGGCAAAGAATTTGTGATTGATACCTCAAAAAGCACCAGCAACCAAACAAAAATAGACAAATGGGACTTAATTAAACTAAAAAGCTTTTCCACAGCAAAAGATGTACTCAACAGAATGAACAAACAACCTGCAGTTTAGGGGAAAATAATTGCAAGCTATCCATCCAACAGAGACTAATATCAGGAATATATAAGGAACTCAAACAACTAAACAAAAACCCTCACAAATAATTCCACTGAAAGGGGCAAATGATATGAATAGACATTTTTTAAAAGAAATCATACAAATAGCCAACAGGTGAATGATAAATTCTCAACATCACTGATCATCAAACAAACAAAAATTCAAACCATAATGAAGTATGATCTTACCCTAGATCATACCATCAGAATGGCTATTTTTAAAAAGTTAAAAATTAGCAGATGTTAGCAAAGATGTAGAAAAAAAGGAAATGCTTATACACTGTTGCTGGGAATGTAAATTAGTAAAACTTCTATGAAAAACAGTATGAAGTCTTCTCAAAAACTAAAAAATATAACTACCATTCAATCCAGTACTCTCACTATTGGGTATCTAAACAAAGAAAAATAAAACAATATATCAAAAAGATTATTGCATTTATTTATAGCAGCAATATTCACAATAGAAAGGATATGGAATTATCCTAAATGTTCATCAACAGCTGATTGGATTAAAAACGTTATACACACACACACACACACAGAATGCTATTTAGTCATTAAAAAAGAATAATGTCTTTTACAGCAACATGGATGAAACTAGGAAGTCATTATCTTAAGTGAAACAAGCCAGACACAGAAAGACAAATATCATATGTTCTCACTCGTAAGTGGGAGCTAAAACATGTGTGGCCATAAGTGTAGAGAATGGAATGTGGACCATGGAGCCTCAGAAGGGTAAGGAGGTGAGAGGGTGATAACGAGAACTTACTTAATGGGCAAGTTCTAAAAGCCCTGCCTTGACCACTTACATCATCTATGCATGTAACAAAATTGCACTTATACAAATTTATACAAATAAAAAATATATTAAAAATGCACTGAGACTTGTTTTACAACCCAGAATATGTTCTACCTTGATAACCATTACATGCACACATGAAGAGAATGTATAATGTTATGTGGGCCATTTCTAAAAATGTCAATTTGGATAGCTGGCAGTGTCATTCAAGCTGGATTTTTAAAACCTAGTTCTGATCACTGACTTTTTGGTCTGCTTTTTCTATTTATGGTTGAGTTTTCTTCTATTCATTATTGGACAATAGCTGTAAATGTCTTCATTTCTCCTTGCAGTTTATACATTTTTGCTCTACATACAGTTCATATATATTTAGGATTGTTATGTATTCTTGATGAATGGGTCCTTTTATCATTATATAATGATCTTTATTTCTGCTAATATTCTTTGCCCTCTAAATGACTTGATCTGGTATTATACTCCAGGTTTCTTTTGGTTATTGTTAACAAGATGTATCTTCTTTCATTCTTTTCTGCTTAATATACTACTATCTATATTTGAAATGCATTTATAAAATGCAACATATATAGGTGGGGTTTCTTTTTTTTTTTTTCAAAAATAAAGATTATCTCCCTTTTAATTGAGATGTTTAATGATGTACATTTAATGCAATTACTAATATGGTTAGGTTTAAATCTACCCTCTTGTGTTTCCCATTTGTCTTATCTCTCTTTGTTCCCTTTTCCTCTTTTTCTGCGTAATTTAGGATTAAATATCTATTTTTTTATAATTTCATTTTAACTCCTATGTTAATTTATTTGTTGTGACTCTTTGTTACTTTATGGTTTCTTCACGACTTATATTGTACATTTTTAACTTAACACAGTCTACCAACATATGCTATGATAGCATTTCACGTAAACCCATATTGCATGCTATTCTGTTTTAAATAATTATTTTCAGTAAGACTTAAAGAATAATTTTTACAATGTATATTAATCCAAATAGTTAACACTTTTATTGTTCTTCTTTCCTTTATGCAGATTCATATTTACATCTGGTATCATTTAATTTCTGACTGAAAGACTTCCTTTAACATTTTGGGTAGTGTGGGTAAGGAGTTCAAGACAAGCCTGGCCAACACGGTGAAACCTCATCTCTACTAAAATAGAAACGTTAGCTGGGCATGGTGGTGCACAGCCGTAATTCCAGCTCCTAAGAGGTAGAGGTGGAGAATAGCTTGAACCTGGAAGGCAGAAGTTGCAGTGAGTCGAGACTGTGCCAAGCACTCCAGCCTGGGTGACAAGAGTGAAGTTCTGTCTCAAAAAAAAAAAAAAAAATTACTTACATTTTTTTGTCTAAAATTACTTCTCCTACCTTTCTTGACAGATAATCTGGCTTGATATAAAATTATAGGTGATTTTTTTTAGGACTTTAAAAATATTACTCCACTGTCTTCTTACTTGCATTTGTTTGAATACAAATGTGCCATTACTCTTATCTGTGGACCTTTATACACATTTTCCTGCCTTTGCTAATTTTAAGATTTTCTTTGTATCACTTATTTTGAATAATTTGATCACGATGTGTTATGGTATAATTTTTTTTATGTTTCTTGTACCAAAGTTTTGCTGAGTTTTTGACATCTGTTTATTTTTACATGAAATTTGAAAAACTTTTGTTAATTTTTATTTACTCTATTTTCTGTTTCTGTTGGATAATTATTGCTACTGATATGAAGTTCACTTATCAGTTATATTTTATAGCTTTGGATCATATATTCTCTCTATGACACCGCATGTTGGCTGGCCAGACTAACCCAGTTAAAGATCAAATTAACCCTTGGCCAGGCCATAGTACTTTAGAAAGGCCCCTGCTCCTAGGTCTTAGCCTTACACAGATGTTGAGAACCAGGATTTACCAGGGTTATTTTACCTAGCATATTCTATATTCTAGCTTCTATAGAGCATCACAATATGGCTGGAGTTCTTTCCTGATTTTCATGAAATTTCTGCTTGATTTTATCCTCCTAGCTTCATAATACAGCAAACGTATTGAGTGAAAATCTGGCAGAGTGTTGCATCATTTGTTTACCTCTCTCTTCCCTCTGATACTATGGCATTTCTATGCCCTAATTTTTTTCCCTTTAGACTCAGATGTCTATTGAAATTCTTGTAATCTAACTAGATGCTTTTGCCCAAACTTTTTGCCCAAATTCTCAGCTTCTTGCCACTGTCTAGAATCAGCAAATATCCTCAGGAGAAAAGTAGCTGTGAAACATTGCCCCTCTTCTCCATGGTCTGCCTTTTTCCAGGATTTTGGCCTTTAAATTCCCACTTGCCTATATAACTCTTTGATTCCTTTAACCAAATCTTTTAAAACGGTATTCAGCTTTTCTAGTTGCTCTCAGTGGGAACATGGGTTTGCCACAAACTAATCTATTGTTACTGGAAATAGAAGTCTTATACTGTTATTTTTTTTAATTTTAATTTTATTTTTTATTGCATTTTAGGTTTTGGTGTACATGTGAAGAACATGCAAGATTGTTGCATAGGTACACACATGGCAGTGTGATTCACTGCCTTCCTCCCCTTCACCTATAACTGGTGTTTCTCCCCATGCTATCTCTCCCCAACTCCCCATCCCCCACTGTCCCTCCCCCATTTCCCCCCAACTGACCCCAGTGTGTAGTGCTCCCCTCCCTGTGTCCATGTGTTCTCATTGTTCAACACCCGCCTATGAGTGAGAACATGCGGTGTTTGATTTTCTGCTCTTGTGTAAGTTTGCTGAGAATGATACTGTTATTTTACTTGTTCAGTCCTTTGGTTTTCGATTCCAGTTTTTTTCTTTAGCATTTAGTATCAAGCTCTGCTCAGTTCTTTGATTTTGGCATATTTAGATTTAAGGAGATATTACCCATGCATACCTTCAGGTGAACTTTAGTTCCATTCTTTGATGTCTATAAGAGGCAGACAAACCAATTCGGAAACACAAGGTAAGACTGGGCTTTGCTCAGACGGCTAGTACTGTCTCCTAGTTGCTATGCACTCAAATATAAAACTTTATTTCTAGGTTCTGACCTCTTCAATGTGCTTTTTATTTATTACTTTATGAATGCATAAACAGTCATATCAAAAGATATCATTATAATATTTGTGCCTTACTAAGAATGTCTAAACTGTAGTTTATATTTCTTTTATATGTTCAATAATTCCAATAATGGTATGAACATATCAGTGTTACTGGATAGATAATTATTAATTGCCTGAGAAATATGCTGTTAGATTTTTATGTAAAAGTCTAATGTACAAGATTACATTTACCCATCATAATCTTCACTGATCCCAGCAAACTGCACTGGATTACAGCGTACAGAAACAATAAACATAAGGAGTATAAGTGATACCACAGACGTAACCATTATAAATCTCATAAGGGCTTTGTAAGACATTTGTAATGTGGAAACAATGACACCTCCCAGAAGATGGCCAAGTGCACCTCCTGGAAGTAAAACAAGTCCTAAAAAAAAAAAAAAAAAAAAAGGAGAAAAAGACAGTTAAAAATAATCAGCTGATCATACCGATAATATATACATTGATAAAATTCCTTTTGCTCTAAACATATAGCAAACATGTGTTTAAACTAAAAAAAAAGAGCAAAAATGTACAGTTATGCTGAACATCTTAACAAACCTGAACCTTAAAAGAAACAAAAACCTGTGAGTAGGGCTGAAGCCATAGCCTACTGACTTTAGGGCAGTGATGGTAAAGTTTTGGTTCTTTATAGTAATGACATCAAAGACAAACCAGGAATTTAGTCCATGCAAAATGGAAGATGAGAGCTGTCTTATTGAGAGTTATTATTAACAACCTTCTTGTTTTTATAGTTTATTACAAGAGACATGATTATACTGACAAGAGTTCACAGAGATTCATTAACAAGAATTGAACAAAGCCACCCATTAGTTCTATAAATGGATGTTCAATATTAACAATCTCACAACAAAGTGGGAGTCTAGAAGAACAATGATAAGATATTATTTTCTATTCAAGAATAAGGAGCTAGAAACAGGTAAGCAAAGGAAAGAGAGAAAAAGGAGAAGGAGGCATGGAGAAGAAGAAATGCAGTCAGAAAGCAATCAGATGAGATAGCACCGTGAATTAATACATTGATGCAATTCCCTCTACTCCAAATATGTAACAATTGTGGATTTAAATATGAATTTAACAAGAAAAACATAGGATAATAACAACAAAAAATCCCATACACTAGATTAAATGTACATAAATGCCTGACAAAGACTTGAAAATCAATAATCTTAGAATGCTTCGAAATATAATTGATGCAAAAAGCTCCGGTCTGCAGCTCCCAGAGCAACCAATGAAGAAGCTGGGTGATTTTGACATTTCCAGCTGAAGTGCCCAGTTTTTCCCATTGGGACTCATTAGACAGTGGGTATAGCCAACGGAAGGTGAGCAGAAGCAGGTAGGGGTGCTGCCTCACATGAAAAGCACAAGGGGTGGGGAAACTTTCTCCTGTAGCCAAGGGAAGCCATGAGGGAAGATGCTATCCAGCCCAGATACTATGCTTTTCTCATGGTTTTGGCAACCCACAGACCAGGAGATTCCTTCAGGTGCCTACACCACCAGGTCACTGGGTTTCAAGCACAAAACTGGGTGGCTATTTGGACGGACACTGAGGTAGCTACAGGAGTTTTTTTTTCTGTACCCCAGTGGCACCTGAAACCCCAGTAAGACAGAACCATTGACAAAGTCAGGGAGCCAAGTGGTATAGCTCAGCAAGTTCCATCCCCATGGAACCCAGCAAGCTGAGATCCACTGGCTTGAAATTCTCACTGCCAGCACAGCAGTCTGAAGTGACCTAAGACACTCAAGCTTGGAGGGGAAAGGGGCACCCACCATTACTGAGGCTTGAGTAGGTGGTTTTCCCCTTGCAGTGTAAAGAAAGCCACTGGGTAGTTCAAACTGGGTAGAACCCACTGCGAAGCAGCAAAGCCACTGTAGCCAGACTGCCTCTCTAGATTCCTCCTCACTGGGCTCATCCCTGAAAGAAAGGCAGCAACTCCAGTCAGGAACTTATAGATTAAACTCCCATTCCATGAGGCAGAGCACCTGAATCAACTAATGTACAAAATAACCAGCTATGATCATGATGACAGGATCAAATTTACACATAACAATATTAACCTTAAATGTAAATGGGCTAAATGCCCCAATTAAAAGACACAGACCGGCAAATTGGATAAACGGTCAAGACCCATCAGTGTGCTGTATTTAAGAGACCCATCACATGTGCAAAGACACATAGGCTCATAATAAAGGGATGGAGGAATATTTACCAAGTAAATAGAAAGAAAAAAATAGGGGTTGTAATCCTAGTGTCTGATAAAACAGACTTTAAACCAACAAAGATCAAAAAAGACAAAGAAGGGCATTACATATTGATATATAGGGATCAATGAAATAAGAGCTAACTATCATAAATATATATACATCCAATAAAGGAGCACCCTGATTCATAGAGCAGGTTTTTAGAGAACTACAAAGAGACTTAGATTCCCACACAATAATAGTGGGATACTTTAACATTTCACTGTCAATATGAGACAGATCAATGAGACAGAAAATTCACAAGGATATTCAGGACTGGAACTCAGCTCCAGATCAAGTGGACCAAATAGACATCTACAGAACTCTTCACCTCAAATCAACAGAATATAAATTATTCTCAGCACCACATAGCACTTATTCTAAAGTTGACAACATAACTGAAAGTAAAACACTCCTCAGCCAATGCAAAAAAATGAAAATCATAACAAACAGTCTCTCAGACCACAGTAAAACCAAAGTAAAACTCAGGATTAAGAAACTCACTCAAAACCACACAACTACTGAATGGAAACTAATGACCTGCTCCTGAATTACTACTGGGTAAATTTAAAGATTAAGGCAGAAATAAATTCTTTAAAACCAATGAGAACAAAGACACAATGTACCAGAATTTTGGAGACACAGCAAAATAAGTGTTTAGATGTAAATTTGTAGCACTACATGCCCACAGGAGAAAGTGGGAAAGTTCTAAAATCAACACCCTAAAATCACAATTAAAAGAACTAGAGAAACAAGAACAAAAAAATTCAAAGGCTAGCAGGAGGCGAGAAATACCTAAGATCAGAGCAGAACTGAAGGAGACAGAGACACAAAAAACCCTTTAAAAAAAATCAATGAATCAGGCAGAGCATGGTGGCTCATGTCTGTAATCCCAGCACTTTGGGAGGCCGAGGTGGGTGGATCACGAGGTCAAGAGATTGAGGCCATCCTGGTCAACATGGTGAAACCCT